AAGGAATAACTGAGCAGAAAAAAAGGTGGTGACTTCACCTTTCCCATTTCCTAGGGAGCTGTTTTTAGTCTGTAGAGCTAGGTCTGTTTGCTGAAAGTGTACTGTGTGTGGGATGATCTAACTGCCCTGTAGGCCCTGAAGGCAACATATCCAGCAGCCAAGGAGCAGGAGGTGCTGGGATGTACTAGTTAACATGACAGTTCTGGGCTTTGCTTGGGGTCTTCCTGCTCTGGGTGATTTTTTTTTCTTACCATTTTTTTTCTTCTCCAGACAGACTCCATCTCGCTCATTGTTTAATGCATTTAATCTCTCTCTGGTTTCAAGCGACGGCCCCTGAGATCTGTACTGAACTTGTTTCTTCACTTACATTCTTTAGTCATCTTGGCTGTTTGAAGAGGGGGATTTAATTTGCTCTGATGGCCTCTCGGTTTCAGACTCCTCTCCCTGGGTAGAGATATTCATGCCCTTGGACTCTCCTAGCCTCTCTGCTGGTGCAGTGAGTGGTCTGGGGGATGTATCCGTCTCTGGCTTTTGGCTTTTCTTCCCTCCTTAGCCATTTCTTTCCCCTTGTGTTTCCTGCTGTCTCTGACCTTCATTGCCTTGATGTCTAGTTCATTAACACAGACTCTGTAGGGGCAAGTATTTTCGTAGATTTAGCTGTGTATAAATAGAATGTATTCCCTTACTGTGACAGGGAGGAAGGCCTGAAATCTGCATATCTTCCTCCCTGCCGCTACTGTACATAGATCCTCTCATCCTGTCGTTCCCTTCCCCCATTAGGCATTAGCAGCCAGACACTTCCTACCCCTCTGGCCATTAGAAGAGTAGACTCTGCAATGTTTTCACCAGGCATTAGACAGCAGACTCCCCTCCACTGACCTGGCAGGCATTTTCCTGTGTACACTCCACATTAACATGGACTGTCTACACTGGCGAGACATTAGAGCATAAACAACTGCCTCTCCCCTCCTATGCAGACGTTAGGTCATAGTTTCTCCTTATCCCGTCTCTACATCAGGGATACATATTCTTCCTTCTCTTTCTTAAAAGGTTTGTCTCCTTCCTCTCTTAAAAGCTTACCCACTGGCAGAAATTCAGATTCTTGCTAGGGATTTCCCCCGAGGGCCAGAAAACTCTGTGCTAATACAAGCTGCCTCATGGGAATTCATCCTATTCTTTGTTAGGTCTTCGCAACTTCTTCACCTGAAAAACTAGCAAACCACTATGCAATTTTTCTCTTTTACAGAGTACCTGGAAACTGATGGGGTCCTCACCTGTGCTTTCCAAGCAGTGACATTAAGATTGTTGTTGCACTGATGTTTCTCAGAAACCGTGATCAATGAAATGGCTTCTGAGAACATTTGCTGTAAATTAAAAAATTGGTGTCCCTTTTTATGTCATCTGTGAATCCAAGGTCTTGATGGAACCTCTGTCTATTCATGGATTCAAGGATAGTGTGTTGCCAAATATATGAGAGTATGTTTACTTAATCTTGTGTCCTGATTTCAGTTTTGGCCAATAGCAGCTCCCTCTGCAGAAAAGGCAACTAAGTCTGGCATTGCAATTTAATAGAAAATCTGCTTTGGAAGTCTTTCTCCACAGATTTCAAAAGTTACAGTTTGGATCGTCCCTTAAGGCAGGAGGTATACTATTCCCTGCAAATCTCTTCTTTTTGTTTTATCACCTCAATAATTCTATGTGATTTCATTAGCCATATTCATTAATGTCAAGTCTGTTTTACAAAATTGCACCATGATCTTGGCCTTGGGTGCATCTTACAGTATGGAGTTCTAAGAGCTGCATGAAGGATTGCTAGTATTCAGAGGATTGCTTTCAATGTACAATCTTCTGGGACTGGATAAGCCAAGTTCTAAATGTGGACATGTATTTTTATTCATTAATCAGGAAGATAAACAATATCACATCATTTGCTTGACCAGTCCCAAGCCAGCAACAACACACAAAGAGAGAGTACCGCCAAATACTATGCCAAAACATAAAAAAAAGCTTGAAAAATGTCACTAAGTAAATTCATATAATGCATAAATTAGAGAGAATTGCAACTGGCTCATGGATATTCTATGAGCAGAAGATAAACATCTAAGTTAGTTGCATAAATTATTCATCATAAAGTATTTGCGCAGCTTTTCTCATCAGCTATGAAAGCCATACATCCAGGCATTTGGATAGGATAATAGTGCTGTGGCTTTTACCTCAGTGATATGCTCTAGGAGCAGAAACTTCTAGGAAGGGACTATGTGTGAAAGGACCAAGTGGAAAATCTCTGCTACTCTATCGTGTTTTGATGTGGATGTGAATTCTGCTAAGAACTTGTTTGCCGTGTGAATGGGAGCTTGCAGTTGTCCCTTGGTAGCAGGCAAGGTTGGAGATATAGCAATAACTTCCTTGAAACTCCTCTTTTTGCCTCCTGCTGGTGGTGTCATAAGGTGATATTGGACCTGATGTATAAAATGACTCAAGGCTCCCTCTTGAGCAAGTTATTTACCAAATTGTCTTTTCATTATGGTGTTTTTTTTTTTCTCACCTTCAGGGTCCACTACTTTGCAGTCTTTCGTTCTAGTTGCATCACTACTTGTCTTGTCCATCCCCACCCATCATTTGGTTGAGATTTTGATCTATCACAAGAGCCTCACTTGAACAGTTGCATGTTTCAGCTCACTTACTTTGAAATAGATATGTTGACACAGACAAAAGCAAACCCTCTCTAACTTTTCTAGGAACGTGAAGTATTTCCACACTCCTCTTGGAAAATGTACTGCATCATAAGGGCTATAGCCCCTCCTGACTTTACTGATAAGAATTATAAGAAGCAGCACTTGGAGAGCAGAAGTGTGCTTTCCTTTCACAGGAACTAACAATTGTCTCCTTGGAGAGGAAGCACAGATGGCATTTTTCCCACATTTGCTATTTATGAGCTTCATGATAGGGACAAGGGCATCTTTATTATTATAAAACCTTCATCACAGTAGCAACATTGGCTGTCCTTTAGCATCCAAATCTTCATCCTTCCACGTAGGGCAACTGCTCTGAACTGGTAGGGTCCTTCCTTCTTCATGGAAAAAAAAAAAAAAAAAAGAGATTTCATTCTACAGCAAGGTTTGGGATCTCCACTCTAGCCATAAATGACCTGGAGCAAACTTGCTCTGTCATGTTGGAGTGAAGCTTTGCTTTTAAGGCTCTAACTATCCTCAAAAGCAACCATAGGAACTCCACGTGCATGTCTTCCCTGGGTACTAGATACTGGACTTTTACACTAATCTGGGAGAGCAGAGCTACATTCTAACTATGATCTCTTCATACAATAAATACCTTAACATTCCTAACATACTTATCATCCACAGTCAGCTTGAATGATCCAACTCTTCTTCCTTCCTGGTGCTAAGTTTTTTTAGGAGGAGAGTGGATGGAGAGTTCAGAGGGTCTTGCTGACAAATGTTTTTCTGGGGAAGATAAGGTTTTCAAGGTCTAACACTAATGACTTTTGGGATGTAGTATGCAGAGGTGTTCTGTTTGGGGATTGTTATTTGGCTTGTGAAAGCCTAGGGGTTACATATTGAGGATTAGCTCAGGGATAGGGAGACATTTTGAAATAGAAGGCTAGCATTTTGCTATTTTAATTTTAATGCTTAGTAAAATCATAGAACTGGCATAAAATAAAGTGGATGTAGAAGCAACCTGGGAGTAAAGAGATGTGGCTTGTGATTCTGGCTTTGCAACCAACTTACGACATCTTCTAAATCTGCATATGTATCAGGTTCTTTACCAGCAAAACAGCACTGCTAGTGCTGGTTGACTCATATTGATAGAAAATGCCATGTCACTGCCAGATATTGTAATTTCTGTTATTTAAGTGATTTTTTCCCTTAAATCTGATTTGAAGGAATAAGCGAATAAAAAGAGACAAAGAAGCTTGTGACTCAATTATCTGAAAAATGGTTTAAGACAGTGCATGTACATCACAGGATAGTGGTTATAAATAAAACCTTTTACTTTTAAGAAGGCTTTTCTTGATATTTTTCAAAGGACATTAATAGATTTCTCATCCTTTAGGTGCTCAGCTGGTGATATATGTTAGAGGCCCCATTTTTAGATCACATGTGTGTGTTCAAGGTTTTCTCCATATCTTTCCCTGTTTGTTGTTTCAAAATGGATACCTGCAATAAGGGGTTGCTTTTGCAAATTAGCAACAATTTTGCAATGAGCTTTATTTTTTTCCAGTTGCTATTAGTTTAAAAGAGGGTGTTTTAAATGACCTTGTAGTTTTTAAAAAAGATAAATAAATAAAGAAAAACTAATAGAACCTCCATTTTCATCCTGGCCTCTCCTTATATTTGAATCAATCCTTTTAGAAGGGTTATCAAGAGCTCTTTTTCTTTCAAAAAATAATCTTTTCTGTGTTTCCTAGTGCTGAAAGATAAATATGTTCTGAGTTTTGCAAAAACAGGAGCTTTGACTAGCAGGAAGACCTGGTAACACAGTGACACGGAGACATAGCAACAGTCACACTGGACATAAAGTCTGCCTAGCCAAATAGATTATTTTTTTCTGACAGGAGCCAGAATTTGCTGCTTTAAGGAATGGTGCAAGACTACAATGCGTGTGAGGGTGGAAGCAGCAGCCTGCTCCCAACATAAGGGAGCTCAGTACTCTGCAAAGTATCTCTGGAGACCCCAAAGTGGAGACACTCTGGAGACCCTGAAACTCCCTCCTCACTAGCTGTGATGCTCCTGCTCGAGATGTGTTGTTCTTGTGCAGTAACGTCTCGCTGCTTTCCCTTCCTCTCCCTCTTCTCTCTAGCCTTGTAGCCTCACGTGTGTATCTGTGCAGGGGTGTCCAGCAGGATCGTCCCCTTGGCCACCCGCATTCCTGTTCCCTGGCAGTTCCCTCTGCTCACCCGGACTTGCAGCCTCACCCCTGTTGTGT